AGAACCCAGCACATGGATTCTTCCCTTCTCTTTTTTTGGTTGGGCTTTCTTGTTACAGGGGTTTCTTACAGCCTGCATCTGCATTTTCTCTGCATCGTTTTTTGTGCGTGTGTTTCTCCAGGAGCTTTCTACCTTCCTACTGCCTTTTCAGTTTGAGTCAGTCCTTCCCATCCTTCTTCCTAGTCCATGTTCCCTTCTTTCAGCCTGCTGCTCTCTTTCCCATCAGCAGTCACTAACCTTTTTTAATAGCTTCTCTTCTGGGATGGTGAACAGCTGAACAATGAAGAGAAAGATACAGGCCATCATGTCATTGGGAATACCTCAGAATACAGAGGTGTTCTTTATAACAAACATTGGACCCTCAAAGAATTGGGCAGACTTCTGGGGAAAGTTGCAGTAAATATCTGCTGCTGGATAGTTTTCTCTTGGTGAACTATCCAATGAAAATGCTAAAACCCTTGTTCCAGGCCTCAGCCTTAGCACACAGGACCCATTTTTCTGGGAATGCATGCAAGTTATCCACACACACACACACACACACACACACACACACACACACACACACACACACACACACACACACACACACACAGTCTACGCTAGATCCAGACGGCATTAGCTGTTTTGCAGAAAGTACAATAAATTGTCATCACTTTTGAATATATTGAGACTTGCCAAAATAGATCATTTGCATATAATAGATATTTTTCCTCTTCCTCTCTCCCAAAAAATAGTACTTTGAAACTTTCCCAAGTGCATGGGCCTTTTATTTAAGACTTCACCCCAAATAATCTTTTGTTCACTGTAAACAGGTGGGGACAATTTTTGTCCATTGTTTTTAAAAAGAACCCAATAGATATAAAATCCATTATTAAAATATAATTGCCAATGTTGCTAATAGCTGTGGTGGTTAAAATAATTACTTTTAGCATTTCTCTTCAACCTCTATGAACAGTTAACTAAAACTGAATGTTTTTTAAGCATCTAATTTGTTATCTTTCTACTGCCGATTATTTGATTTTGTTTGTTTGTTTGTTTTGTTTGGGCAGTGAAGCTAAGTTCATCAATTTCAGGTTCTGTTTTTAGTCAGTTTCACTTCCTGGCATCCTAACTCTTCTTCTAAAGTAGAAGACAGTGTGGCTTATATATTAGAAGGAAAATCAAGTTTCTCCCTTCTTGGATAACATTTCTTATTCTGCAGTGATACGGATTAGCAAAATGAGCAATGGCAGGTGACCTGCAAAAATAGTTCTTAAGTCTCTCTGCTCTTTGTAGCCAGTTTTCAATAGCTAGAGGCCCTGATCCTGTGAAGACTTATGCATGTGTTAAGTTTTTGTGTGAATAGTTTCTTTTTGAAATTTTTTTGGGATAGAGCCCATAGAGAGACGGTGATCTAAAACTGCTTTATCTTGTTTGTTCGTTTTCCTTTCAAGGCAAACTTGGAAAAATGCAAGTTCTCTGTGAATCTGTGTTCATCCATGTGTCTGCTTTATTGTATATAGACTCCTCATCTGATATTCTGCTACAACAATATATTAAGCATGAAAAATTTGGTAGACCTATTTGGAGACTTTCAGCCATCTTAACAACCCAGAATTAAGATTCTAAGAAGGCATAACAGCAAATGCACCTTCTTCAGATGGGATGTCTTCTATGTCCTAGAGGCTAGCATCAATTCTACAAATTCACAGGGCAGATATTGGGGCGTGTACTATGCCCCAATATCTGCCCTGTGTATTATGTACTATGCCCTGTGTACTATGTACTATGCTCCATAGGTGGTGGTGGAATTCTGCTCCTCAGGTTGGCTTGAAAGGTCACTTCGCTTGGTAGCAAATAGTTGCAGAGTGTGAAAATGAAATATCTGAGTAAACATCCTTCCACTGGTGTAGGGTGCAGGGGCTTCTGAGCACCCCCAAAAGGATTAATTTGAAAAGCATCTAAGATAGCAAGACTTTTCCTCCCCTAAGGTCTCATGTTGCTATTTGCAGAACCTGTGGCCTGACTCTACTTGGCATTTTCCCAGCTGGTTGAAATTTACTTTCTGCCTGGCATGGGCATTCTATAACATTTGCTCACCTTGGCGTCTTAAGCTTCAGAGCAGGCTGGTGAAGCTGATTTCCTGCCCCCCACCGCCTTTCCCCCACCCCCCTTTGTGACTCTAGTTCCTTGTTGGTAGAAGGGAAGCAAAGGGAACATTTGAGCAATGCCGCCTCCTGTACCTGGTAATTAATAATATGGGGAAGCCATTTTTGTTCTTAATGTTTAGCACAATAGTGACTAGGATCGATCAAGACCCTGTATGGACAATATGGACAAATTAAAAAAAAAATGTTTTTTGCTCCAGAGTTAACAAGTTTGTTATTTTAAGGACTGGCTGTAGACCTGACTGGGAACTTTTTGCCTTAATGTTTTTCACTGGAAAATTCTATTGTGTTTCTGCAAAAAGTTTCAGGTTTGTAAATAGTGAGTTTTGATGAAACTTCTCAGGAAAAGTTTCTGAGGCTTAGAATAGAATTTCTCATGAGACAGCTACCCTAGATTAGCAAGTAGCTGAATGGTTTGGACCCTTGTGTTATGTACAAGAACCTTCAAGGTCTTGTTTGGTCTGACTCTCCTCCAGGGCCTTCCATCTCTTGCATTGGCTTTTTTTTTTACTTCTCTATAGATTTTATTTGGTCCCCAGAAGAGGAAGAACAACATTCTTACTGGCAATGGTGGCTCCGAGGGACATAGGGTATTTCTTTTTCTCATTAAAAAAGGAAAAGGAGAAAGGCCGAGTCAGTCCCAGCCAAGGGATGACCTTAGCAGTTCTTGGGACAGAACTAAAAAAGTTGGAGGCAGCTTGTCTAGGCCTGCCAGCACTCTAAAGAGGTCCATCTCCCTGCCTGTAATTCTGATGTCCAAGTCTTGCTGGTATCCTCAGCCCCTTCTCTCATTCTCCTGACCCCTTTGAGGGGGCTTCTGGAGATAAGATGGGGACCTTTATTTTGAAGCTGTCCTCTCTGATGGGGGGAGGGGGGGGTCTGAATTCTTCAGTGTGTCCGCTGCTGTTTGCATAGATGGACTAGATGCATCCTCTACATTTTTTAGAAGGGCTTTGTTCCTGTGTGAGAAGGTGACCTTTTGTTCACATCCTAGAACTAAGGGGAAGAAGCCCTTACAGTCTTTGGCTTTTTATGGCAAAAAGTTTCCAGCCAGCTCTATAGCCAGTCCACAGCAAAGGGAATCTGACTGGATTGTCTCAAACTTGCTCGCTTCCACCTAGTCAATGGAAAGGGTGCAAGGAAGTTCTTTTAGTGAATAGCGATAGGTACTTGTTTATTGTCTCTGGTCCTATTTAACCCCAGTCTGAGCCACCAGCCTAACCACCCCCCTCCGCACATCAGTTCCCTTGATTTGGAGGGTCCACATGGGAGGCATTTTCAATCAGCTGATAGGTAGTACAGTTGATGTCTTCATCCTTCCTTCTCTGGCAGCTCTGGAGCTGCTCAGCTGTGCTTTTCTTGAGGGAACAGGGCTAGTTTTTTTAACCAGAGGCAGGCCCTTTACCCAAGGTTCACTGCTGCACCCCAACTCTTATGCTCAAGTGCTGGTTTGTGGGCAGCTTCTCTTAAAGTCTGAGGGTTTCAGAGGAGCTGACTCTATTTTCAGCAGAAAATTAGATCCTCTGTGTGCCTGCTTTCTTGGCTTGCCTCTTCCATTGGGAGCCAGCTGGAGACTTACAGACTAGTAAAACATAAATCTGTACCTAGTTATTTGGTTGAGGTGATCACTGAAAAGTAGAGAAAGCACTGGAAATTAATGTGTGTGCCAGCTGGACCATGTTTCTGCATGAAGGAAAGATACCTGGCTAATCTATTGGAATTCTTTTGACTGTGTTGATAACTTATGCCAAGTGACTCTCTTTTCTTTAGATTTTCAAAAGGCCTTTGAGGTTGCTCAAGAGAGGATATTAAAGGAACTAGGTAGTCATGAGGTAGGAGGCATTGTCATGGATTAAAATGCTGGCTAAGTGATGGGGAGCAGAGTAAGAATAAATGGCTGTTTTTAATCATGGCAAAAGGATAACAGCAGAGTGCTTCAGTGAGTCCAGTATTGTTCAGTGAACTGAAAAGGGGGAGCAAAACTGGAAAAGATGAGAAGTTAGATGAGTTGAGACCAGAGAAAACTGGTAGGGATGTCACAGGGATTTAATCAAGCAAAGTGAATGAATTGCAGGTGAACTTCAGTGTGGATAAGTACCAAGTGATGCAAATTGGAGGGAAAAAATTGAACGATTTATATATTTTGCAAGGTTTTAAATTAAGTGAATCTACCAGGAAACAGGACCTGGCATCCTCAACAATGACTTCTCAATGTGCTGCTGCTGTCAAAAAAGAACAAAACAAAACACTCCCCAAGAAGTTAAAGATGTGTAAGGGCAAAAAAAAAGGTTGGAGAGTTGCACAGCAGATGTTATAATGTCCTTGTATAGATTGATGGTATGCCCTTGTCTAGAATATTGTGATCCAGCGCTGACCAGCCCATCTCAAAAAGGATATTGCAGATGGGGAGTTCATGGAAGGGCAAAAAATAATTAGGTATTTGGAAAAACTCTTCAACAAGGAGAGATTGGGATTGCTTTTCTTAGAAATAAGTCCAATAAGAGGAGATATGAAAAAGTATATAAAATGAGTGGGGGAACAGATGCTCTTTGATCTTGTCATACAAACAGAAGGGGGCAGGCGATGAAACTAGAAGGTGGCAAATTTGTAACTGGTAAATGTTTTCCCTCCATATAGGCAGACAAGGTTCAAGATATCAAATTCACCCAAGGAACCTTGTCTGCCTATATACTTAGACCAACACGGCTACAACCTAAACCCTTCCCTCCATATAACACTTAGTAGTACTTTAGAACTCATTGCCAGAGGATGTTACTGAGGCCAAGAATTTAGCAGGATACAAAGATGGATTAGATATTTTATACAGCTAACATGAATATCCAGTTAAATGGTAAAGTCTATACTGGAAGGCATGTAAAACCTCACATTTCAGGTCTTGTACTACTCCCTACTAGTTAGAAATTGGTATGAGTCTTTTTCATAGGAATGTTGATCGTCTCACATACATCTTCAAGGGGGTTTACTATACTTTCCTGGGAGGCATCAGGTGTTGCTGGCCACCATTGAAGACAGAATACTAAACTGAGCATCCAGCCTGTTTCAGTTTGACTGTTCCTTCTGCCTGATTTTTAGATGTGGAAACAGAGGCACAGAAGGGAGATCTGCTGTTGTGGCAGGTTGCTAACTGGATTTCTGAGAACTTGAAATAGAATACTATCTTCTCATTCCTAGTTCTGGGCCCCAACCATTTCAGGAGACTTCTGCAGCAAAGCCTGAAACCTACACAGCTGTGTGTAGCATATTGGTTCCATTTTAAATGTCAGCGCATGTGATTTTGGGCAGTGAAGTTGGACACTCTCTTTTATTGTACATAGGAGAGGTCCCCATGGCTTGGTGCTTGTAAGCTAATTTTTTAAACCTCTGCTTGTATTTAATTAGAACGTCATAAGGCAATTAAACCTGAAATAATTTAAGCCTAAATAGTGTCATCATTGCCCCTGTGTCTTTCTTCAACTGTGCACACCTCATTCCTGGTCAGATTTGCTTTCTGTAAATAGTTTCTCTTCCCCATGTGGTCGTCTTAGGCTTGCATTTCCAAAGCTGTCAAGAAATGGTAACCAAGTCTCTGCTCTTCTTTCTGTAATGGTATGGAAAATAGTAAGAAGAACATAGGACTGGAAGGGACCCTTGGGGCTTTGAGTCTGGGCCCCAGCAGTTGCAGGCAACTGTGTCATAATCCCTTTCCCATGTCCCATCTAGGCTAGCAGCTATGCTGTTTCCAGCACTTGTTCAGTGGGGTCCATTGCTGACAATTATTGTCCTCCGTGGGTCAGTTGTCCCTGTGCAGGCAGGGGCAATAATAAGATCTCATGAGGTCTTTCATTCTGTAATCTAGGTGCTGGTTTAGTATTGTTTTTTTGCAGTATGTTACTCAGTGTTTTGCCTCTTTCAGGGTTGGATGTGTCAAGCTGCTGGGGCCTCCACTCACTATCTTCCAGCCCCTAACATCTGTGAATCTCCTACAAACTGTTTTGCAGCTGGACAGATCTGTTACAAATGTTTCCCTGGATATTCAGCTCAGATTTTTTTAAATTTTGCTTAATTTTATCTGTGCCTAGATCATTCTTCTCTTTTCCCTGGTGTGTTTTTCTTTTTTTGCCTGTCCCATTTCAGCAATGGCTCACACATTACAGCTGCTTGAGGGTAGTTCTCTGCACAGCAAACAGAAGGTAAAAGTGAACTGAAAGGCTTTTTTATCTGCCAGGGGCTGGCCTGGGAGTCGTTAGGTCCCTTGCAACAGTGGAAGGCACTGCCAGCCCAGCACGTGGAGCTGCTCTTAGTTTCTGTGATGATCTCATCTGTAGCGTGGGGGAAATGTGGAATCCCAAATAGGGATTTGGCACATAACAAAAAGGGGATCTTGCCGAGATGATCTAGTACCATAAATCAGGTCTGTCTGGAGCCTAGATCAAAATTTGGATCCAAGATAGAATTAGATAGCAGTATCAGGCGCATGCATTTGGGTTTGGTGTAGGCCCCCGTTTTCTTCTCAGAGATGCTAGGCCTAAATCCTATATGCAGGGGACTTTTCAGTGACCCCTTTGCAGTGCCAGAAGAATATAAGGGGGTCTTAATGTAAATGTGAATGAGCCCCACTCTCCCTTTTGAAATGACCTGTGAGCCTCCACCATGTGTTCCCTTACTGAACAAAGGGAACTGTCTGCATATTTGAAGAGCTCCCCTCCCTTAGCTCACCTTCCAAAACCAGCTTGGGGTGGAGGGGGGAAGGTTCACTCTCTCCGTCCAGACCTTCCGCTTTGACTTGACTCCTGGGGAAGAGGAAGGATACGAATCCTTCCAAGCAGCCACCCTTTATCTGCTCCTCCGAGAAGTGCCCTTTAGAGCCATGTAGATTTTTGTGGAGAGAGGGGAGAGATGTGAAGGAGGAACAAATGAGAACCGTATAAAGACAAATGGGAATCAGACTTAGGAAGCAGACTAGACAACCCGTTGGAAAGAGGGGGGCGGGGGGAGCTATTGCTTTAATTGGTCTCCTTCTCAGGTTCCAGGCAATAATAACCGTCACTTCTTTCCCCCTCTCTCCAGAATGCAGCCTGCTCTCGTCCCTTTGCCCGTCTCCCTCGCTCTGCCTTTTTATTTACTGTTTTCAAAACATCTCTGGATCCAACAGCAACAGTGTCTCCTCCCCGCACTCCCCACCCTTCGGCGAATCCAGTTACCGGCCAATCCAAGCTGACCTCTTGCCCGTTTCCCTTCTTCTCCTGTCTGGTTACCCTGTCTGCTGCCCGTGCTCTCTGACCAAAGCTATTTCGAGCTTGACTGTGCTGGCAAGGAGTTTTTATGAAGGGTCCCCCCTCCCCACCGCCAAAATATTCCAGCCTTTGCAGAATAATCCTAGGCTTGTGCTTTCATGTAGTGCATGTGTATCTGATTCTTCATCTTCTCCAATGAGTTTTTATTCTGTTCCTTTATGTACCCCTTCCCTGCACTAATTTAAAGATGGTCCTTAGGGGAAGGCAGTGTATGCAGTGGATCATAGTTTCTCTGCTCAGAGTCCCGGTGTCTGTGAGATGCCCATCAGCTATTTAAATCTACCCCTGAGGGTCTTAAACTTGCTCCTGAGGATTTTATTTGGGGCTGGCATCAGATCCCCTAGCAGGGATGGGCTGATATTTCGACAGCCGGTGGATGGGTTAGTTGTGTGTACTTTCCTCACAGCAACTTGCCCCTGCCCTTTCCTCACACCCTTGCCTGTTTGGATTTTCTCTTGGTTCGAGCAGCCAAATTTGTGAGTCACTTAAAGCTGTGGGGAGCATGCCTTTTGGTAGTGGTCAAGGTGGGACTGTGCTCCTGCTGCAACAATGACTGTAGAGGCCATGGTTTAAGAAATGGAGCTCTGCATCCCAGATGCAGGCTGCGGTTCTCGTTTTATTCTCGGGGAAGAGTGGGGGCGCTTTTAACATACCTCAAATATTCCCAGAATGCTTTTCTTTGTATCTCTTCCACCCCCATTCCAAGTTCACCCGGTAGTAGAAAGCTATCCTCCCAACCAGAAAGGCCTGAAATGGCTGTTCCTGTTGGAACCTTCCCAGCTCCTCTGCTCCCTGTCTGCGGGAAGGGCTTTTATAGAGCACATCGAGTCACTGCGCTGAGCCTGAAATCTAGCATGTCCCATACAAATCACTGTGCCCATGAGGTCTAACTCAAAGCCCATCAGAATTAGTGGAGGTCTTTCCATTGGCATTTGTATCTAGTTAGAGGAGCTGCTGTGTCTTTGCCCCAGGTGGGGCAGTTTGTAGTAATTTTGGTCCCAGTCTCATTTAATGTTCTAGCTAGAGGATAAAGGGGACCCTGAAAACTCCCATCTCCTCTGGCCTGGCACTAGTGCAGCAAGGACTGGAAATGAATGCTTTTGGCTTCTCTTCCAAGTTCTGCTACTGATTCACTGCGTAACCCTGGATCAGTCACTTTCTCTCTCTCTCTCTCTCTCTCTCTATACATGGGTTCCCAAATCTTGAAAATAGGACTAGCCCCTTCTTCTGTAAAAGCACTGAATGATCCCCAGTTGTATGAGGCTTTAGAGAGTTGCTTAAGATTTATATAGGTTGGATTTTTCACATGGGCACGCACAGAAACAGGCATGCCTGATTTACCCACTGTCATGGGAGCTTTGCACACACCTTTATGCCACCCTGTTCATTTATGTCTGAGTTTTAACAGGGAATGTGCAAAAGCATGCATGCACTGTTGTGTTAGAAACAGTTCGGCTCATTTAACAGGCTGAATTTACACATGGTACCTCCCTCTGGTTGCTTTGTAGCTGGGTTGCTTATGAGGAAGAGGCTACATGCACGTGCAGCAGTTGTACCAATTCCATGTGCAGTTCTGTAAACCTTATTACAGGCCTTTTCTCTAAAGCCCTAGCAGGAGTCTCTCTTTCAGAGGCAGGGCTAGAACTTGACCATCTAGAGTGCCTATATACGAGCAGGGAGGCAGCTCCAAAGTGCTGTAATTTCAATGCATTGGGGAGACTCAGTTAATCGAGTCTGCTGAAGCGTGGTAATTACCACACCCCAGCAGCCTCCTGTGTCTTGTGTATCGGCGTCCCTGCGCTTCAAAATGGCAACAGGGGCACTTTATCTTAAGCTGCTCTAATTAAAGCATGCCCCCTGCCCCCCCAACTCTTCGGGCAAGTGTAATAATAACGCCCCTACTGCTCTCAACCCTGTGCAGAGTCCATCCAATACATGCGCCTGCTTCTCTTGCTGCTGAGTGGCACATACACTCGCCCTTTGTGTGAAGAGGCTGCATTAGTTGCTTGGCAAAGGAGTCAGCTAGGAGGGAGTTTGTGGTGGCTTTGCTGCCATCCTCAGCAGCCCAGTAGGGAGCCATTAATTAACCTGCGTAAGGCAATGGATAACCAAGGGACACTCCAGCTACAAATTGTCTTGCCTTTGCCTTTATAAAAATTAACGAGGGAACCTCCATTGCTGTGGGTTTTCCAAACCCCAAGACCAACATTGGACAGTTGATGGACAAGAGGGAAGCAGCGTCCATTATATCGTGTGCATGGCCTGTGGTGGTCACCTTGCATTTTCCAGGCTTTTTCTGTGTTCTTCCCCAGGATTTGGAGGTGAGGCTTAGATTAGCTGTGCTCCCTAATGAGATGAAAAAGTTGCAGTCTGCTCCCCCAAGGCTGGCTTGGCCTAAGCAGCATATCTGTCTGACAAGATTCCCTCTGATCCTTTCATCTTCACGTTTTCAGAGAAGGCAGTTTCTGTGTGTGTGTGATGTTCCTTTTGCCACCGTCAGCAAGCCCCATTTTCCTTTTACAAACTCCACAGCAACTTTTATTAGGAATTCCCATTTGGTTGCTTTAAAAAGCAAGCCCTTGTGGCTGGCCCCTGGCCCGCTGCTAACAGATTTGTTTGAGAAAAGGCTGCATTGGCATCCTGCTTTATTGAACGTGCCTCCTGGGAAGGCGGCTTGAATATCCCTCTGTCTCCTCAGAGCAGGGAGCTCTTGAGGCCTGTTGCCGCCCAGGGGATGGGGGGAATGTTCCTCTCTCCTCCCTCCCCCTTTCTGTTGTTCAAGGCTTTTTTTGGAGGAGTGAAGAGAGAGCTATGCATGGTGCGTTCCACTCCATGCTGCTTTTCTCTTTCCCAACGGAGTTCATCCAAAGTTCGTATCCAGACGATGAACAAAGTGGCTCAGACCTTTTCCTGACTCCTCACCCTTTGTCCTCATCACTCAGTGACAGACAGGGATCAAACATCACGGGACAGGCTGACGGGCAGGGGTGTGTGTGAAAATATTCCCGTTAATGAGGGGTAGGTTGTAATGGTTGGGGGGTGGCGGGGAGGGAGGGAGGAGGTTCTTCTTGCTTTAAACATTTCCCTGACTATCCTCCCTGATTGAAAGCTGAGTTTGTTTTAGTTTTCAAGGTTTTGTGGCATTTTTCAAAGGAGAAACGGGAGGGTTTTTTAGTAATGTAAAACAGAAAAGCCGAGATGCGAGGAATACGCAGCACAACGAGGCTGAAGAGTCCTCCTTGGGACTCTTGTTTCCTAAGTGTGCTTGTCATGTCAATGGAAAGGGAATGTAATTTTCGTTCCCTGACTGGTCCAAGACTGCAGCTCCATCCCTTTCTTGGTAGGAGGGAGGTATTCTTTCTCATGGCAGTCATTAGGGAGTGTGATAGTCAGTCTCAGACGCACTGCTTTCCAGGCATTGCAGAGGGAGGTTTCAAAAAGGGACCCTAACCAGTATACATGCAGAACCCGTTTCCCCTGAAACACTAGCCAGCCTGTACAGCAGCCTTCTGTGCCAGGCCCTTTTGCACTCAGGTACCTTCTAACTGCAGCCTGGGCCAAACCCTAGCCTCATGGTGGTGAGAATAACCCAGTTTTTGTGGGCTGCATGTACACGGTAGATGCCAGTTGATAGAGCTAAAGTCCTCCGGGCTTCTCGGGGCCAGAGTTTAGTTCTGTCTTTGTTCAAGTAACTTGTTACTTTTGAATATTGACGTTTTCCAAAAAAAGTGTTCCAGGAGGTAAATGTTTTGGGTTTTGCCTAACCTGCTGAAACCCCAGTCCATGCACATATACTCTCTGTGCTACACTAAAGTGCTGATCCATAGAGACAGGAAATGATCAGAATTGAGAGACTCTTGGTATCTCTCTTGTTCACTCTGCTTGTTCTGTGTCGCCTTTTGTCTCTACTACACCCAGAGTCTCAGGGCTATACTTCTGGCTTGTCAATGCCACACCAACATGACAAAAGAAGTGTATGTTGGCAAAAGAGGGTTCACTGCATAATGCAGCAGAATTGTAGTTGTGAGTCGAGTGAGCTCTGGTGGTGGTTTGTAAAAATGCTTTACCATACCAGGCACTAGGGAAGTGTTGGATCACATTTAATTCTAGGAGTAAAGCAGCTTAACATAAGAAATGAAGAGAGCTCTATTCGGTGCAGGAGGAAGTATGTTAGAGAAGGAAAATGTGGAGTTGGGATGCAGGCAGGACACCTGGATTAACATGCCAGCTCTTGTGAAAGAGGCCTTGTGATCTTTACTGACCTCCAGTGGAGATGGGTTTGGCTTTATATCTCAGCTAGAAGATAGCAGCTTAGTCCCCCAGGTTTCCCCTCCTTCATTGCCTTGGGGAAAATAGCACCACTTTTTGAATTGCCAGCAGGAGTTCTTTGACTTTCCTTGGGCATCTCCCTCCCTAATACTGAGAAGGCACGATCCTCCTTAGCGTTGTACCCCATGTGAACATAGCTTAAGGTTACACATCTTCAAGTTCCTTCCTTTCAACAGCCACTTTTGACATAAAGCTTTGAACAACTGGGTTATGACATGTTAGGACTTTAAAGAAATTCAGCTTGGAAAGCAAAATCAAGAGGAAACAATTTAGCTAGTATTTTAGTTGCACAAGTGCCAGTGAAGGACCGGTTTGCCTGTCAGATGCCTGGTATGCACTCAGAATCCAAAACAGTGTTTACCCGTCTTCCTATTTCTCCTACCACCACCCGCTGAAATGATCAGGTGACTGGTACAGGAGTTGATTAATTAATCTTTTTTTAAATAACAGTGAAAAAAAATCAATGGAAATCTTAGAACGAGAGAGAGGCTCCTGCTGTGTTGGAGCTGCTTTTGGACTTGGCTTTTGCAATGATTTTGGAGAGGTGCCTCACTTACGTCCTGTGCCATTTCTGGCGACTGGGAACTGAACAGTGCTGAGCTGAGAGGCTTTTTTAACGTCCTCAGGCCTGATGCCTGATAGACAGCA